GCCTTTTGTGACCCGATACCCGTCGCTTTGGCACGGGTGCAGAACCTTCAACTCGGTGGACGAGTTTGTCCGAAGCTAAGTCTTCTCCTTCAAAGAGGGGACTGTATGAACAGTGCAACCCCCAGGGGAGACAATTCTTTGATGAGTCGACCACAACTAGAGATTTAGTCTCCTTAGAGACTTTGTGGATCTTACGCATAGCCTTGGGGCTAAGGGATATGGAGGAGAGTACCTCCTCATACTTGGCTTGATCGAACTCGATGATTAGAGTTTCAATAGTCGTTCCAGCGAACTTGATATCGGATTACGCTACCACTTCTTCATTGGTAAAAAAACTAGTCCCTAGCAGAGTCGCCATCTTTTATTTGTTGGAAAATTTGCAATAAGAAAATGAAAGAATTGAATTTGATTTATTCCCTCTAACTACTTAGAAAAAGAATGTTTATAACTCTCTCAATCTCTAACTGATTACAATTTAAATTTTTGATTACAAAAGAAAAGAAGATCGGCGAAGATCTTCCCCTTTGTTTAATCTGGGTTCTTCTTGGTATGGATGAGATACCTCACTCAAAACTCACGTTGAGTTTGCTTCTCGTTGACGATCCGAACATATCGCTTCACTGGAACAGTATCTTCTCCTCAAGATTTGACGCTGTGGAGAACTTGCAAAGCAAGTTTGAAATTAACTCTTAACGAGTTTAGGAACTCAGGAGCGAGTTTAAACTCTTGTAAAAGAGTTGATTTGAACCGAAAGTCAGTTATAGCCAAGAACGAGCTCCTTGTTGCTGAAGTTGAAGATGATCTCCATTGAGGAATAATGCCGATCCTTTCAGGTCATTTCTAATCCAAAAAATTTCAACCCCTAACTCAGTTGAGTTTCCTCTTGTTTATAAGGGATTAAGGGGATGTAACCGCCCCTTAAATCACTCCTAAGTGGGGTGTAACCGCCCTCAAATCGTGAGAAATGGTTTTGGAACCGTTCAACTCATGTTTGAACGAGTCAAACGCCTTGATTTGCATTATGGACATGAACCTGCGTTTTAGCGCATCGTTTAGATGATGCGTCAGCGTCCGAGCTTGAGCTGTGTCCATGGCTACAATCATGTTACGTCTGCTTCTGTGATTATGTCACGTTCGCGATGGTGAATGCAGCGCCTGGAAGCTACGTTGGTATTGTGTTTAGCGGCTGAAAACACTACGTTTGTGCTGTGTTTGAACTGCGTTGATAACTGAGAATGCAGTAATTGCTTGCTTTGACTCTAGAACGCAATCACTTGTGTTTCACCTCTAGGATGCAAGGATGAGTTCTGTGTCTTGGATTGAAGAGATCGTTGACTTGTAATCTCTTTTGTCAGAGCGTCGCGACGATCGTTGTTTTGCAATCTTCGCTTTAGCTCTTTGAAATATGAGAGTCGTCAGATTACAACTCTCATTATTGGTTGTGAAGACCATTGATCAGAGTTTTCATCGGTTATCGTGAAGGTCATCGATTTGTAACATTCATCAATCTACGTGAAAGTCTTCAAATTGTAGCCTTCTGGAAGTCGTTGAATTGTAACTCTCCTTGTTGATGTTTGATGAGGATAAGCTATCTGTTGTGATTTTTTTTGACAGCCTACAACTGACTCGGTCACCGAGACACCAAACACTGTCTCAACTATTGGAATGTTGTACGCTGTCTCACCAATTGTGAGACAGCTCCGAGTCTCGTCGTTTGTCATTTTACGTATTCCTTTGCTTCTTTTGGCATCAGTTGATTCCCTTTGACTTAGATGATAATGTTCTTCATCTTCACTTCGTCTCGAGCTGTATTTGGAACATATAGGTAATTTTTGACGCCTACATCTGTACTGTTAGTAAGTTACGAGTCATGATGGATAGTATATGATATGAAACGGTTCCATATACTCTCCATCATTGTAAAATATCGAAACTATTATTGTGACTTTCAACTAAAGATACAGTTAAATATTATTTAATTTTAGAAACTTTCATTGATGATCCAGATCCAGATCCACCAATTAGTTGAGCTATCAATAATTTTTTTATCAAAACTCTTACCTTTGCCTCGACTTAAACTCGTAGAAGCAGAAGCTGTAGGCTGATATGTACTTACACAATACCTAGCTGCATACTCATCATATAATCATTGAAAATAAGTTCTAATAGTATTATGATGAGTAAGAGAAATAATAGTTTGACCATCATTAGTGTCTATTATCATCTTACCATACAAAGAATTTAACAAATTTTGGAGGTCAACATCCTTCAAACGTAATTCAATAAGAACTCCAAACCAAAAATAATAGGAATATGCCTAAAATACTTATTAAATTTACTTTTTATTTGAAAAATCATATTTCTAAAATAATTATCTATACAATAATTATTAAAAAAGTTTGAATATTTAAAACTTGTAAAGCATCTTGAATAATAGGTGGATAATAACAACCAGATAATAATATAGTAGCATCATAAAAAAATTTATAACATCTCTTTTACACTATATATAACTAACCATTCATCCTTAGTTATTCCAAACATATTACCAGAGCTAGAACTAGAAGTATATAAAACAATAAAATCATTTATAAATTTTTTACTCTATTGCTACATTTAACATTACATAAGTAGAATTTTACCTATGGTCAACATATTTTAGAATTAATCTAGGTTTAAATTTTTTTCTTTTACATAATTGTTTTTATCTTTTAAATCTTTGTTTAGAAGCATTATGAGTATAAGCTATTGTCCTAATCTGTTCTATCATGGATTTAATTTCATCAAATGCACTTTGAACAATTAAATTTAAAATATGACACATACATCTGGCTTAAACAAAGAGAAAAAGAATAGAGTTCTTTCGTTTATCGAAAGGGGACTCCGAACTGAAGGTGGACTTGTTGCTCATGGAAAGAGTCAAGCGGGCCAGAAAGACACTTTTGGTGGACTCACTGTCAATTGAAATTGATCAGTGAGGGATTTTGGTGGTGAAAATGATTTTGGGTTATCCTCTAGAATATTAAGTGTAATATTCTTCAAGGAACTTCCCGGTAAATGAGTTATCCTGAATGTACTAGGGATAAAGTTTGAATATTTAAAACTTGTAAAGCATCTTGAATAATAGGTGGATAATAACAACCAGATAATAATATAGTAGCATCATAAAAAAATTTATAACATCTCTTTTACACTATATATAACTAACCATTCATCCTTAGTTATTCCAAACATATTACCAGAGCTAGAACTAGAAGTATATAAAACAATAAAATCATTTATAAATTTTTTACTCTATTGCTACATTTAACATTACATAAGTAGAATTTTACCTATGGTCAACATATTTTAGAATTAATCTAGGTTTAAATTTTTTTCTTTTACATAATTGTTTTTATCTTTTAAATCTTTGTTTAGAAGCATTATGAGTATAAGCTATTGTCCTAATCTGTTCTATCATGGATTTAATTTCATCAAATGCACTTTGAACAATTAAATTTAAAATATGACACATACATCTAATATGAAAAATATTACCATGACATGAAAATAGTAAAAATGATTTGATATGATCAACAACTACATTATTATTACTTGCATTAATTTCTAGTGAAAGAGAAAATATTTTTCTAAAATTTCTAATTTTATAAGTTCTTCTATTATTAAATTTGTAATATTAATACCACTATGTGAATCTTCAAATGCAATAAAAGAAATATCTCTTTTAAACATTTGCTAATTATCATCAATCCAATGTGCTATGATACATAAATAATTAGTTTGTGCTCTAAATATCCAAATATCAGAAGTTAAAGCAAATTTATAGTTTAAACTTTGAAAATAAGAAATTATTTTTGCTTGTTCCCCATGATAATATTTTAAAATGTCACATTAACAAGATTGACGAGAATTTTTTTTAAATGCGGGATGAAAACCATCTGTAAACATATCTTCAAATTCATCATCTTCTACTGATTTAAAAGGAAGGTTTTTAAGAATAATAAACCTGATGATGTATTTCCTAGCTCTAATTGCATCATAGTTTTAACTACCGAGACTACCGAAGGATGATGATTGTGAGAGTAAATATTGTCGGATATCACATTGAGCATTGCCTGACCTATGTTGTGCTTTTCTAAATGGCGTTTGAGGTGGTTGGTGTTGCTTTTATGACGAGCTTGGAAAATATGGCCACACAACGCACACTTAGCTTTCTGGGTGAGAAGCCTACTGTGTTGATCCTTGTGATTTCTATCTTCTCGAAGAAGTTCCACACATCGAATCTCGGCCTTTTAGGAGCTCTAGGTGCAGAATCATCGCCACCGGATTCGTGATCAACATCGGTAGGAGTAGGAGGAGTACCTGTAGCTCTTGTAGTAGGAGTATTAGGACTCGTTTCAACATCGGGAGTTGGGATTTGCCTTTCATAATCAGAGAAGGAAGCCATTTGATTGAAGAATTAGAGAGCAAAAGCGAGAATAAGAAAGTATTGGAGAGTATTAGAGAGAAGTAGATGGGTTTTTGATGAGAAAAACAAGTGAAAACTCGCTCTATTTATAGAGGCAGTCCCCTAGCCAAATGACTAAAATACCCTCAAAATTTGGTCGTTTTTTGACTGTTTTGGGGTATTTTGGTCAAACGATCACATTCGTGATTGTTGGCATCCCTTCCGAGTTTGGGCCCAGGCTCGTGGGTTTGGCTTGGGCCTGGCCGGGTCTGGTTCGGACACCGGTCAGGGCCTGGGTCTTGGCCCGAAATGGACAACCCTAATATTGCCATCTCGTCGAGTATATAAGAAAACTACATATATTCTGGACCATCAAGCCATCGTGAGTTAGATTTGACGATATCGCCTTCTAACTTAGTAACCTCCAGTGCATCAGACTCAGTATGACCCTTTTATCGTCTTTGTTTTCCCTTATTAGTGTCTCCAGCAGGACACCAAGAGCCTCCAATCAAGCTAAAACCGAACCAATGCTCACATGCCTCCGCGACGAAGCCGGTAGAACAGTTTCAAGATTATCTCCGATGACAATTCGGTCCTTCAATAAACATTCTACCATGAAACCGACAGCTGAGGATCATGGTCCCACTTGTCCATTGGCGTGAGACTTTGGGTCCCTGTCATCAGGGTGCCAATAAAAGGTGTATTCTAGAAACATATTATAACCGTCAAGGGGGCTTAACTGTCAGAATTAGTCAAACAAACCGCCCAATTGCCTGCTGGTCAGAGTTCAGATGCCCATGGCCTCCCTTTTCCCCCTAAGTCTCCTCTATAGCCAACTGCTCCTTTTCCCCCTCTTTGAATCCATTTTCTCTCTTCTTTGGAGCTCGACCCTCAATTTCCATCACCTCTCCCCTCCCGTTTCATCAATAAAGGTACTTCCTTTCCCTTCATTTGCCCAAATCTTTTCTCTTTTTCTTTTTTTTGTATATATTTAGTAAAATTTCTATCTGGGTTTGTTCTATTTGTTGATTATTGTGCATGTTATGGTTGGTTATTGTTGAATAGAGTAGTTGCATAATTTAAGCTGATGGGTTTGTGGGTAATGATCTTTTGTCGAAAAAGAAAGTTATTTGGTCCTGTTGAGGCGATTGCAGTGATTGGGTGACCATAACGTGGCAAATGGAGATCATCTTGGGTGCAGTGTTTTCTTATTGGTTTTTTGCTCACAACTTGTTTGTGGAAATGCCTGTTTTGGTTCAATTTGATTTTCTGTTTTCGTAGAGGAGTTTGTGGATTGTGACACTTGTAATATGGCAGTATTGAAGATAATATTGAGGTCCTAAAAGCATATTACTGAACATGACAATGGAATTTGGAATACGACCTGTCCATGAAAAAAGATGAGATTTTTTTCCCGCTCCCACAGGATTTGATAGTGGTGAGCTGATTCATGAAGTGCACAATATCTGCAAACTTAATCACAAGGAAAGTAGTGAACAAGAACAGAAAACTGTTGTGCGCAGCGGAAATTTCGGCAGCTCCTCTGGTGCTCGACTAGAGAGTATATCTCAACTAAATCCTTGTTTCACAAAGGAAACAAGAACCAAAAGTAAAATATCTTAACAAAGTGAAATATCAGCTCTTCCTCTCATCAGTTCTAGGACTAACTTGTCGAGGGAATCTAAACTCTCTATTACAAATCACAACACGAACAATCAATTTTAACGTGGTTCGGCAAGTTGTCTATGTCCACAGGGCAAGGAGGGAGGAGATCTACTATTAGAGAGAGAGTACAAATAGAGTTTACAATCACACAACTTAAACCTTCAAACAAAACTCTCAAATCTCTCACAAAAGGGATGCCAAAAAAACCCTCTCAAAACAGCACACAGGACTGCACATAACCCTTGCACAGCCGCCTGCTTCTTTACGTTTCCCCTGTTGCACGTCACTCTGCCTTTGCACGAAGCCAATGAAGAGACAACCGTAATTTTTCATCACCCTTTGCTCTTGCACACTACTGCACAAAACCCTAGGCATGAGTATTTATAGGTTGCAGTTCATGGGCCGCACCGCATCCGCACCCACGAACGAACAAATGTTCACGTGGGTAGGTGGACCTCACGTCGTTGCTTCTCACGCGGGTGGAAACGAAACCTCTCCGCGTTTACACTTGTGGCCCCCACACGCTTTCAAGAACGTGTCATTCGTTCGCAATTCTCTACCTCGGTGAAGTTTTCCCAAAACTGAGCCAACACCAACCATACCAAATGTCTTACTTGTTACGTCTAGTACGAAGTGAAACAATTTACGATAACGGACTCAATCCACAACAAGTCGAGAACACAAATAAGAATGCAAGTACTCTCTAAATGTCGGTATCAACCCATTAAATCGGCTGCATCATAAAGACTGCCTACATATCTTTTTGCTTAAGGAATCAAGTCTTCACATAGTTTACCCAATGACCTCCAAATGTCCTCAATCCAATAGAAGAGTTCGCAACCCTCCTCTAATATCATCAACTCTGCGGCTGATAGCACCTGTAATGATCTCAAAGTGTAATGAATCAAACACCTCCACCTGAGGTGAATCAATAGCCATATTCAAACTATATCTATCAGCTGTATTCGAATCAAAACCTAACTTATCATCTGTATCCAAAACCAATTGATCCCCAAACCGTGTCACTTCAGCTAGAATCCCAATCAATACAAAATGATCTGGAGTATGTGGAGTAGTCTCCACCCAATGTGAAGTAGCATCACTCTCCACCTGCTGTGATACCTCTATGATCTGTCCAAGACTTCACCTGTTAAGAGTCAATAGGCTCCCTCATCGAAGGCTCATCTAATGTGACATTACCAGACTAAATATCCAATTGAGTTTTACCTTCAATCACAGCAGTTGATAACTCTTTAATAAGATGACCCAAATATGTTAAAGCCTCAGTCCAGAAACTCTTCTGCAAACCATTGTTTGATAACAAACACCAACCCTCCTCCAGTAAGGCACGATTCTTAAAATTTATCACTCTATCTAGTTGTCCCAAGATTTTCTTTCCAGCAAAGTATCTTGAAATGCCGTGAGCTTGGCTCTAATACAGAAACATGTTCATCTTGTACCTCCCACCAAAATCAAAATAAAGTACCTTCACCTTTTTGTCTATCACACACTTCTTTAATCTGTTAGAGACTAATAGGATTTTATCCAAAGGGGATTTTGTTGTAACCCAAACACGCTTAGAACAACTACCAACAAAGAAAACCAAACATCTATTTCCTCCCAACGATGCCTCCTTGGAAGGCCCCAAATTTCCACATGAACCCCATGTGAAAGACCCTCCGTGCGGTGAATAGAGGTGCCAAATTTTACCTCGATCTTTTTGCTCACATCAAAGTGTTTACTGGATTTTAAATTGCAGGTCGATGCACCCATCTTCAAATCAAAAAAGGAATGATCAAGCCCCAAATATCACAGTCTAGTCGAATCAACAGAAGTTGCCAGTCCTCTACCTGTCACTGTATCTCCAATCAAATAGTACATGTTATTCCTCCTGATGCTCTTCATCACAATCAAAGAGTCTTTTACGATTTCGAGAACCATATCCTCAACACGAACCTTCAGACCCTCTCCAACCAAAGCTCCAATTAAGATCAAGTTCTTCCTCAAGAAAGGAACATATCTCACATCATATAACTCTCTAACAATCCTGTCAAACATCTTGATACGAATTCTTTCTATTCTAAGGATCTGACATGCACGGTTGTCTCCCATGTACACCACACCACTATCTAGTTTCTCAAAACTGGAGAATCATTCCCTTCTAGGACACACATGATAGCTCGCATCACTATCCAACATCCACTCGGATTCCTCCGAATAGCTACCCTTAGGACTGATAGAAAGCGAATAAATAAAAGTATCAGAAATATTACCATCCGATATAATGATGTTTGTTTTTGATGATGGTTGCTTCCCTTTCCCTTCTACTTATTCTTTATCCATTCGTCGAGCTTTGGATATTCTTTCTTCTAATGACCAGTCTTCTTACACCAAGCATACTGATCTTTTTTAACTGTAGGATGCCCTACTCTAGACTGTGACTTCTAATTTTTTCGGTTTGGATTCTTTCCTCTTACGACCAATACCTCCGCTACCGGCTCAACTGAAGCCTCCTTATCCTTCTTTCAAAACTGATAGTTTACAAGTACAGCGGTGATCTCACTATACGAAAGGGACGTCTTCCCATTAATTAGGGTAAGAACAAAGATCTCGTATTCTTCATCAGGTAAGGAACTCAACGACAGCAACGTCTTATCTTCATCTTCAATCATAACATCCACATTCGTTAAATCCGTAAGAAGTTTCGTGTAGTGATTCATGTGATCACTAATGGAGGTTCCCTTCTTTAATTGGAAGCGATAAAACCTCTTCAAATGCAAGCGATTTGTCATACTCTTGGTCAAATACTTGCTCTCAAGGGTCTCCCAAATCTTCTTTGCAGAAGTCTCATTCATCATATCATACTTCAAATCTTGTGTTAAACAAGATCTAATAACACCACACGCCGTTCGATTCATCTTCTTCCAAACATTCTCTTTAATATCATCTGGATTGCCATCCAACTCTAAAATGTCTTTCAAATTTTACGCGTTCAGCGTATTCAAAACATCGCATCGCCAAAGTCCAAAATTATTCGTGTCATTAAATTTCTTCATATCTATTTTTATAGAGTCGATATTCAAACTTTAAATGGTCTTCACACCAGAAGCACCACCCTCAACACCTTTTTTTCTGGCCATATTCCTCAACACACCAACCAATGCGGAACAAACTGAAGAATAGATCCAAACTTGAGAAAGATAGAGCTTTTATAAAAAAGATCCCACATTTAACTCCAATTAAAACCCTAGACGAGCTTTCAAAGCGATCTACTCCTCCAAATTGCCCAAACGTAGCCCGAGCTCTGATACCACTTGTTATGCGCAGCGAAAATTTTGACAGCACCTCTGGTGCTCGACTAGAAAGTAGATCTCAATTAAATCCCTGTTTCACAAAGGAAACAAGAATAGAAATCAAAATATCTCAATAAAATGAGATATCAGCTTTTTCTCTCATTAGTTCTAGGACTGACTTTTCGAGAGAACCTAAATTCTCTATTACAAATCACAGCACGAATAATTAATTTTAACGTGGTTCGACAAGTTATCTACGTCCACGGGGCAAGGAGAGGAGAGATCTACTATTAGAGGGACAGAGTACAAATAGGGTTTACAATCACACAACTTAAACCCTCAAACAAAACTCTCAAATCTCTCACAAAGGGGATGCCAAAAACCCTCTTAAAACAGCACAAAGGACTGAACAGAACCCTTGCACAGCCGCCTGCTTCTCTACGTTTCCCCTGTTGCACGCTGTCCTGCCTTTGCACGAAGCCAATAAAGAGACTGCCATAATTTTTCTTCACCCTCTGCTCTTGCACACTACTGCACAAAACCCTAGGCATGGGTATTTATAGGTTGTAGTTCGTGGCCGCACCGCATCCGCACCCACGAACTAACAAATGTTCATGTGGGTAGGTGGACCCCACGTCGTTACTTCTCACGCGGGCAAAAACGAAACCTCTCCACGTTCACACTTGTGGCCCCCACACGCTTTCAAGAACGCATCATTCGTTCACAAAAACAAGGATTTATATGATTTGTGGTGAAGCCCCCATGAAGCTATGGAAACAATATCATTCTCTTTTGTTATTTTGGGAAATATAGTGGTTTGCTCAATCGTCATTAACCGTCCTTAATCTCTTATATAAGACCAATCAGATTTGATTTATAAAGATTTGTTATTATAAAAAAGCGATTGAAATGGGTTTTATTAATGTAGAGAAGATAATAGTCTTTTTATCGGGTTGTGGATTCGTTATTCTTGT